CCTCCTATGCCCTTATTTGGTCCTTCCCGTTCCTGTCCTTATTATGATTATTGATCCCAGGTGTTCCTGGGACGTCGATCCCGTGTCCTACGTGTGTTTTCCTGGATGTCAATAAAGACCGTTGATTGTTATTCTCCTCGTTCCTTGCTCCTTGTTCCTCACTCCTCACCGTAGGCACACCGTAACAGTATGTGTGATGATCAATGTTTACTTTTTGAAGCGTGAACGTTTTAGTGTAATGGACTTTCAATGGAGAGGCAGAAATCTCTCGGGTTTCATTAAAATATCTTTATTTGTGTTTCAAGATGAAGAAAAGCCTTATGAGTTTGGAGCATGATGGTAAGTAAGTAAATTACATTTTAATTTCAAAAAAATTTATTTTTGGGTGAACTATCCATTTAACAACAGTTGTTTCATTCTGTTTGGTTTGCACTATTTGGATTTAATGTAAATTGGGTTGTTGGATAATACTGCTGTCTGAAAAAGAGGATGACAACCATATGTTGCAGCATATGGTGTTAACATGGCCTTAATCAATCAGGTTTGATTTCAAAATGCTAAGTCCATTTCTGGAAGAAAAAGAGTTTCTTAAAGTGTTGTTAACTTGCACCATATTTAAGATGATTAATTCACATACTTGCCTCATCCCTCAAGGTCATGATACAACAAGGTAGTCATTAGAAAGATATTTTATTGCTGATATTCCTACATGTTTGCTATTGGAACATCACAGTCAAAAATTTGGGTAACACTTCATTTTAAGGTGTCCTTGTTACACATGTTACATGTACTTACTATTATAATAACAATTAATTATGCATAATTACATGCAAGCCAAACCCTAATCCTAACCTTGACCATATAGTAAGTACATGTAGTTAATTAATGTTACTCAGTCCTTAAATGTATAATTACACCGTAACAAAGACGCCTTAAAATAAAGTGTAACCAAAATTTCCAACAAACCTAATAAAACATAAGATAAAGTGACAAAAAAGAAGAGACATTACTTATTCTTATAGACTTCACTTCCTGAAATGATGGTGATGCAATTGCGATTATTTTTTATATTTTTTTTATTTAGGGCATGATTTGTGTGTTGAGATAGCTATGATGGTTGCAATAAAAATATGCATATCAAGGAGAAACATCTACACCAACACATAGCTATGACTTGCATCGGCTAATAATTATTCAAATCTTTACACATATGTGAAGGAGAGACACAAAAATAATGATTCATATAATGAACGAGCAATAAATAAAATAAGAAGAATAAGAATAAGAAGAATAACTATAGAAAAAGAGAGATGTATAATTCTTACCGCATCTTTTTCTGGATTGCACACCTTCACCCACATGATGTGGTCCAACAGCCAATCAATGGGCTTGTCTTTGTAGAACATTAGCATAAACTCCACGATCAACGGCAAGTCTAATGACTTGAACATTTTACCTGAAACGAGCAAAGCAGATTCATGACTATCAACCAAACGAGACTAATAACGTCAGCTGAAACACGTTCACCCCTGAGGGAGGATTTGTGGGCATGCTGGACTGAAGTGAAAAATCAAAACTCGCATGGATTTACACTTTCAACAAGGATTTAAACAAGGAACTCGAGGGAGGAATGATGAAGGGCAAAAAAAACATTTAATGAAATCAAAAGGAAAGGGCGCTCTGTGAGTAATTACATTTTCATATTAACGATTCAAGGCTCTTCTACTAAGGTGGTGCAGCAAATGTTCTACATAAATTATAACATTTTTCTTAAAACATGAGATTAATTCAATTCATAAAATGAAATTAGATCAGATTCAGGAAGAAGGATGTTATTTTTTCTATAGCAGCATTTTTATTGGCCTCTAATTAAATTTTTCAAAACTGTTTAGGTCACAGAGGAACTGATGTGGCCATTTCTGCTGGCTTAGGGCGAACACTCAGCCAGTAAATCAGCTCATTTTTGGTAATCTATAATAGAAGAGACATCTGTTTTTATGCATAATGAATCACTGTCCAACATCAACCACACAGACAGTATCTGGCACAGAAACATCCTGCCTCTCCAGATGTCAAAACACATCAGCTCTGATCTGACGGCCTCCACTGATCCATTTCATCCCACAGATCAGTTTTTACTGTCTTTTCATGGGCATGAAAATGTGGTTTTGTTCCATACAGCATATTTAACACACCTGCTCCCCATTCACGCTTGAGACCTTGTAACACTAATGAGCCACATGACACCGGGGAGAGAAAATGGCTAATTGGGCCCTGGTACAGTGTTGAAGATTTCTCAGCCATATAACAGACAAGCATCTTGAAATGGAAAAAATAAGTAAATAAAATGAAGAATAGGAAATACAACAACATGAAATATATAAAGGGCAACTAGGGGTTTTCCTAAACTAAGTTTAAATTCTTCTATTAAATATTAAATATAAATTCAAGGCATTCTTCTTAATTAATTTCAGCGATTTAAAATTTTATTCAGGAATTTATTCTTACTCAAAAATAATTTTTGAGGAAAGGATAATAATTATATAATTGCTAAATCATGTTTCATCTTCCATAAATATACCAAACATCACATTTTCCTTTATTAATTCAGAAAAATTTTCAAATTTAGAAAATAACCAGTAAAATGTTTCAATCTGCCCATCACAAAAGGAGCAATTGTTAAAATCTATAAAATGTTAGTTCCTTGTCATCATTTTGCTTTATTTGATGTTTGATTCATCGTTGGCTCCCTCTTACCTCATACTCCGGGGTTTCCTTACGCTTTTGTGCACATACTCTTCAAATCTGCCCTTCTTGAGGGTATACTAATATATATATTTTTTTAAGCATAAAGGTTTAAGGTTTAAAGGTTTTAAGGTTTAAGCATAAAACAATACTGCTTTAAATTGTTTTTCCAAACAAAACAAAAAAATGTAAAAGTTTTCTGTTTAATGTAATTGTATTTTTGTTTTTGTTTTTCTGAGCAAAAAATAAATATCATACATTTTCCCCTGATTTACAGAAGACACCCACTAAAATGTCATTCAGCGTAACAATCTTGTCTGTCATATTTACAACAAAAATCGATTTATGACATATTAAAAAATGAATTACTTTCACCCCAAATACTAATTAGTTATTTTACATTTTTTTTAATTTGCCACTATCCTAGGTTTTGCCCATTTGTCAGTAAGAATTTTTTACTCATTTAAAACCCAATAAAATCTAATATGCTCACTTATTCTTTTATATATTTTAATATGCAGGTCAGAATAAGCATGTTGTTTGAATTTTTACATAAATATATAGTTCAGTCATGAAACTCTAGATGGCGACAGGCGACGGGTTGTTAACGTAACTAATGATATTCACAGAGTTAAACGACTTGGCACAAGCTGATTGGTTCATGCTGCATATGCAGCCAATGAGCTTACTGCCTTGCATTTATATGGCTGGCTAGCATTCACTTGAGATTCCTGCAGCGCGCTTTCAGAGTTTCTCTGAAACTAAACAGCTAAGATAAGTAAACGGTCTTCACTATGATTTCAGTGCATTATTGTGTTCGTCAGATTTACATTTTTAAACTAGAAAACATACAAGTGTAAAACTACGCGCAGGTTATTCGCGTGAGGAGTAATTACTAAGCATGTATTGTTCATATAACAGCAGTAGCATTAGCAGCAGCAGCAAGCAGTTTTCCTAGTTCATGTATGTGAGAATACAACGTCAAGCGTCGTGGATTTAGAACAGTAAAGTGAATTGGGGATTACCTTATTTGCCCGAAATCTCCAACGTTTTTAATATCTTCTGTGGGCATTCATTTTTACATTAACCGCGAACGGATAGCTTTCAGATGCACACCACACTAGTGGGGTCGGTTTGCAGTTGGCGTTTCACAGTTGTTCACAGTTTTAAGTCAAGGTGAACCCGTATAACTGTATTTCATAAACATCATACTGTCAACAGCCTTTCCTATCCATAACAACTTAATGAGCAGCAGAAAATAATATACCCGCTTATATGTGTACTCGTGCCGCATTGCAATGCACTCAGAAGAGGGAGTGCTCATTCTTAAAGGGGCCACATCTCTATTTCACTCGTTACCTTGGTTCAGCGATAGTGAAGAGTTTATTATAAAAGTCATGTTTAGTGATAGTTTAAAGATAATTAATCATGAATTCGTTTAAAATATAAAGATACTACTAATAAATCATTTCCAAATAGTAGCCCATGTACAATGTAGCTAATAGTAGGACACTCTTAAACTGGAATTTACTATTTGTGTGTTCATTTGGGCTAACAGCAATTGTAGTACTTTCATGGAGTGTAGCAGCAGTATCATAGAATTCAGAATGCGTTATTAGCGAATTGTTAATAGCAGTATGCATAGCAAATCAAGTTAAATTATTACTGTTGTTTATAGCAGCGGCAGCAGAAAGTATCTGGTTGCATGAAATTTCAGTGATAACATGGGGTAAGTAACTTTAAAATTGGAATAGGCTTTTATTACTTCGTTTATTTATCAGGGCGTACAGAGATTTTGTGAACTCTTCAAAGCGAAATAGGCATTATTTGTTTGCATTTCATTGTTTAATAAAGACGCTTATAGTAATTCTATAATTCTATAGTTATTCAGATCGTAATTTTTAGCTAATTTAATAGCAGCAGAATGGCATAGCAAATTCAGATGCAATGTTAGAAATAATTTTAGCAGCAGTCTGCAAAGCAACCAATTATCATTACTAATATAGCAGGGGCAGCAGAAAGTACTTTAGTTGCAGGAAATTTCAGTGATAATGCATGGCTGGGCTACAGCAATTCTAGTACTTTCATGGAGTGTAGCAGCACTATCCATAGAATTTCAGATTGCGTTATTAGCAAATTATTTATAGCAGTATGCATAGCAAATCAAATTATGCGTTTAGTTGCGGCAGCAGTAGGTAGACTGTAGTTTACATTTACATTCTTATTTATTCATTTTGCAGACGCTTTTATCCAAAGCGACTTACAATTGCTGAAGTTTCAGTGACTATAAATGGATGAGTTTCATTTATTTAAAAGGGGCAGTATGGTAGACCGTAGTTTACATTTACATTTATTTATTTTGCAGACACTTTTATCCAAAGCGACTTACAATTGCTGAAGTTTCAGTGACTATAAATGGATGAGTTTCATTTATTTAAAAGGGGCTTATAGCAATTCTAAGTACCTTTGTGCAGCTGTAGCAGCAGTATGCATAGCTATCCAGATCGCTAGTTTAGTGAATTTTAATAGCAGCAGCACGCATGGCAAAATTCAGACGCAATGTTAGAAATATTAGCAGCAGTCTGCATGGCAATCCAATTATCGTTGCTAACATAGCAGCGGCAGCAGAAAGTACATTTAGTTGCATGAAATTTCTGATAAGATAACACTTGGATGGTAGTGAACTTTTTAGGTGAAATAGGCATTTTATTACTTTCATGCATAACAAGTCATATTATTGTTGCCAATATAGCAGCGGCAGCAGAAAGCGCTTTAGTTGCATGAAATTTGAGTGATAACTCATGGAGGGTAAATTAACTCTAAAATGCAATATGCATTTATTACTTTGCTTATTCAACAGGGCTTACAGCAGGTTTCGTGCAGCAGCAGTAGATTATGCTTTGCAAATTATGATTAAATATTACAACCGCAACAGCTCGCACAATAAATTCCTACTGCAACATTGTGAACAGCATCATGCATAACAAGTCATATTATTGTTGCCAATATAGCAGCGGCAGCAGAAAGCGCTTTAGTTGCATGAAATTTGAGTGATAACTCATGGAGGGTAAATTAACTCTTTAAAGTGCAATAGGTATTTATGACTTTGCTATTCAACAGGGCTTACAGCAGGTTTCGTGCAGCAGCAGTAGATTATGCTTTGCAAATTATGATTAAATATTACAACCGCAACAGCTCGCACAATAAATTCCTACTACAACATTGTGAATATCATTAACAGCAACAGCATGTACTTCAACTCCGTATTGAAATGTTAGTGAATATTATCAATAGCAGCAGTAGCAGAAGGTTTGTTGCGTTGGCCGTGTCGCACTGCATACATCGCGGACAGCTTTACCTATCGTAACGGGTCTATTGACTATTGGTCTGTTGGTCATGATTGAACTATAAGTGTTACACTGAATGACAATGGAACATTATTTCAACCAAATTTTGACATTTTATTCTTCAAAAACTTATTTGAAACCTTAAATGTAGACACTTGCATTTAATGTGCTTTCTATGGACATAAAATCACTTTTGTAAAAATTTTTTAATGCGGACATCTTAACGTCTTTGGCCCATATATATATATATATATATGCAGGACATTTTTTCAAAATATCTTAACCATGTATTTTACTGTACTTGTCTATTTTTACAATAACTGTTTCTAAAACTGTAAGTTTGAGATGCTGTTTGCGAATGTTT